TTATCTCTGATTAAAAAATATGACCTGCTCACTTTTGATTCTACACGAATGATGAGATTGTTTCAGTACCAACAATTTCGACATCAATCGTAACTATTTGATGCAATATGAATCTTTGCAAAGATCAAGAGTGATAATTTGAACAAAATTACAGATTTGCCTTGGTCTTGTACACAACATCCAATATACACCTCGAGTAATGTCTGTCATTTGTCAAGACGACAGCCGCAAAACAACAAAAACAAGCCTAATTACCTCCCGTGGGTCATGATGGCAAGAAAACAAAAAGGCTGATTTAAAAAGGAGGCCTCGAGATGTTTTACCTTTCTTACAATTACATGTAATCAAAGGATACACGCTCATTACTGGTCGGATATATTAATTGAGGAATTTGCAGACGATGTGAATTCTTTTGTATGAGTGCATTAAGACAAACCACAACGGAAACTGGATGGCAGCTAACTCAGTTAACTCTGGATCAAAAAAATGTGTCTGTAAGGGAGTATGTACTGGGTGGTCGGCTATAGATTGCCCCCCTTTTTAAATGACCTTTTTAGGAGAAAAAGTTGTAAATGAAAGTTATAGGGTTTGATATGATGTTTTTCACGTAATATTTTTTTTGTATACCGGGTGTCTCAGAAAAGTACTATCGAATAAAGTTGTATTTTTTTAATGAAATACCCTATTATGTTTTTCATTTAAAACAATCTTTTTCTCTACCTCCAAATGTATACGGTTTGTTAAACTTATTTTTGTCACTAAAAAAAAACTTGAAGTTTATGTGTCATTAGTCTTACATATCTGTTCCAGCCCTGATACCAGATTGCATAGGCGGATAGATGCAAACTGATTCGAACTCGGATATACGTAAGTAAATTACACACTAACTTTGCCCCAAGTAACGGAAATAAGTATGATAAACCATATACATGACTTTGAAGTTGAGTCAATAATTTTCAGATAATGATTGTAGAAGGAAGATAAACCAGAATATGTGTGTAAAAATAAAAAAAATTAAAAAAAAATGTTTACCTTGTTTTATAAAGTATCCTCCCGACAAGTATTTCAGTGCGGACCTGTATTTTATCGTGAGGTCCCCTGTGAGGTCTTAAGTCACCTGATTCACGAGCCCGTTGTACTACATTAACAAAGGCACGAGGGGTTGGTTGCACTCGATTGGGAAACCGATCCGCATAAACATGTGCCATTTTTTATTTCGTTTGAGCCACGCAACAGACACTATTCACACGCTAACCGACAGACACTGACTGTATGTATAACAGAACTGAATAAAATACTTAATTGCAAAAACATCGTTCCAAATTCTTTCGCTTTTTTGTTTCCGATGCGATGAACCGGTAAGGCGGATTATATCCGTTGTTGCCAAACACGAGTACATGATATTATTATTGAGACAGGGCGGTACTCAAACTTCCAAAGGCCTATAACTTTGTTACTTTAATTTTACCAGAAAAATGGTAAAGGAAAAAAACATTTCTTTTGATCAGATCGACTCACTGTTAAAATAAATGACTCAACTTCGAAGTCACCCTGTATATTTTGAGTAAGATAAAGGGACTATCATTTCCCTTTAAAGTATACAGATAACGATATCACTTCTCTGAGGCAAAAAAAATGTACATGGAAGACTTCATATTAGACCCTATAATCTTAATATAGGTATATCTAACTTTTTTCTGGAAAGTCATACAAAAAAATTGGAGGGGTTCAATTTACCGTACACATTCAGTTTAATAGGTGTTTAAGTGAGCTCAAAACTCGTTGATATCTCACTTTCTTTACTTATGCTTATAACTATCGAAGCTCTATTGGTGAACCACTCAGAATATTGTGTGTTGATTTTCTTATTATTATTTTAATTCGATAGGTAATGCAAAACTTACAACAAGTCTGGACAGCGTATGATCCACTGGCTTCCTCTTGAGAAGTAAAATATATCTAGTAGGGTATTCGTTTCTTAAGCAAGCGTGGCGTGTTTTTTTTTCACCTCAATTGTCAAAATCCACCAAGCTGATTGGGCTGTAGCCCGTGAAATAGAAATGTCAAAGATGAAATTTGCGACTGAAATGCGCCATATTTATTTTATAAAATTTTAGCATATAAACTGTTAATCGCACTGTCAAGACAAATCTAGAGACAACTCGTAACTCATATGTCAAAGTTCATCAAGCCGGTTAAGCTGCCGCCCGTGAAATAGAAATTCAAGGTTCATTGTTTTCTATTAAATAGAGGAGCGCTCAATTTTCAATCGCCAGCAACAATATAGCCGGGTCATACTCAAAATACTGTTGTACATTGCTGGCTACTCTATTGCAGCTAGATAACGCAGTAAAAGTATTTCGCATTCAGTTGCTCCATTAAGAAAACACCAGCTTGTAAGGGCTGTATCCTGTGAAAGATTATGCGGTCCCAAACCACATCACAGGAGTTGTTGTTGGGGCAGCTACCAAAATCCGTACATCTTTAGCTTTACACATGACATGCGAGAGAGTTAATGAAACTGAGACTCGTGTCTACTTCAGATGGCATAACTCATTTCTCGAATCATTACTGATGAGGTCTTTCTAATTGGAGCTAAGATTTCCAATAAGTGTGAAAGCTGTCAATGTAACTATATTTATGACTTATTTATTTAATATTGATTCAGCCAACACTAACCATATTATAAAAATATAATAACGAATGTCACTTTAAACTTCTCGATTATATCTTCATGCTGGCCTGAACCCATTTCAAATAAGTACCTTTTAGAAATAGAAGACATGGTAAGTAAGCATACTCATCTCGGTATGCACGTTTATTGTAAAATTGTTCCTCATTTGATTAAATTGAAGAATTCACAGAAAATACCATGTCAATGAACTCAGAGGCGTTAAAAACGGATACAGATATGGTATGCAAACTCATTACCCATATTCATTAAACTTTTTATTTAATTCTTACTGTATTCTTAGCATAATCATTATTATGTAAAGCACTTAATTTAAGGTAAAGCATAAGGCATTTTGTATTTTCACAACATTTTTTCACAATGAAAAAGATAATGAATTGAAAATAACAACAAGTCTAACAGTTGTGTTGTCTAACGAATATAAGGTTTTATCATAATACCGTTTCGTCCTTCTTCATCGTTAAGATAGAGCAAAATATTCAAAAATAAATGTTTTCAATTATAGATATCAAATGTAATTAAGTAATTCTGAGGATCAAGTACTAGATCCTCTACTTGATCTTCGGATGTTTCTGTTACAGACTCATGAGCAACCATACTGAGGTTGCTGGACATAACTCATTGAGTGTATCTGATATATCCAGGACGAGGAAACCATAGACATAAATTCTAACTAGAAATACGTAGGTATTCTGAGGTTTTGAAGATTAAGTCACTTTCGACAATACCTACTACTGTTCGTCATTTCTTCTCAAGCCGGTCCACGGAACATAGTCATCATAAACTCAGTGTCTGTGGCCATCCTATCAGGTCTGGTGGTCCAGAATCCAGACAAAGTGTAAGGGAACAAAAATAGCAGAAGAGAGCAAAAGGGAATAAAAGCGAAAAGCAATCATTTTGTGTAAATGTCTAAGGGCCGTATCGTCAGTCGTTCCTACAATTGTAGGACGTCTTTATGGCCTTCTTGATTTTCATAGTTTTCTGTAACACAATAATAGTACTTGTAACAAAAATATAAATCCTTTAAAAATAAACTAAACCGAAATACATCAGGTACATCCTCAATGAATGCAATATTTAATTCAATAAAGTGAGATTACTGTATAAGTGAGGTTCTAATCGGGATAAATTAAAATTTCTTTCTACATCCTTATAAAAATGCGTTGCTGACGTTTCGTATTCAGCAGATGTAGATCCAGGGATAGTATTTGCAACCGGATGGTGGCGTGGGCTTGATTTTACAAAATCTTGAGTTAATTTCATGACTCTCATCCGATATTCGAATTTCTCGTAAGCCGAAATTTTTCTTACATGTGAGAGTAAGCTTTGAAAGAAATTTAAATCTTCATCTTCTTCGCTTGTATTCTTTTTTTGCTCTAAAAGCTGCAATTTTTGCTTTTCTACTCGTAGTAAAGCCTGTCCAAGTTCGTCTTTCGATGATCTCTTTTGAGTGTGTTTTCTAGCTAGCAACCACCTGTGATAAAAGCGAAGAAAATAGACGCTGTTAACTTTGCTTTGCTTCCAAGCATGTCTCAACTCGTTACTCCAGTAGAAACGCCTGCATATAAAACTACGAAATAATTTTCTCTGCTCCGCTAGTATCGCCGCTCTTATCGTTTGTCGAAGCTCCAACATAAACGCACCCTAATTCTACCTCACACAACAAATTGTTGGTGTGCGATTCCGCTTTTTAACAGTGCTGTTGCGCCATACCTACAATGTAGTCCTTAAAGAACGGAATGTCAAGATCCCTGTGAACGATAACATTTAATGCATACCATAGACCATAGAGCATGTAAATCTTGTCTCAAAAATACTAAGCCATGCATAGGTGACTTATTCGTGGTCGAAAAAATAATTTCTAATGTCGGATTTCGTTAACGAAACCTGATTTGAACTTGACATAGCTGCTGAAATGTAATTTGGAACTTTTAGTTTTTCAGTGTGTCTCTGCCAAATCATCCTCTTGTATACGATGATCCCTGTGTTTTTAATAGCGAACTCTGCAGAGCAGAGGCACTAGTGCGACGTGTCGTAAAAAAGATATTGTCAACTTTTATTTTAAATTTCTTTCCTCCTTTAAGAGCCAAAGAGGAGGACCTTTGTGAAGCACTCCATAAGTGGGAGACCTGCATGCCGATGCTTTCGCAATAGCCAGAAAAAAGGTTCCATGCCCTTGTCAGCTTACAATAAACAAAATTATTCCACAATTATTTTTTTGTTGTACATTTGAAACATTCTTAGAGACACACCTATATATGCCGAATGTTAATCATAATACCTTAAATCATCTTAAAGTTATACCAACCTAACTGCAGCACAATAATGCAAACTCTCAATAGGAAAGAACCGGGTCACCTCCTTCCTATTTTCGTCTACGTTCTCCAGGAGTATCCCGTTTGACCACACACTGAGCCAAGAGTCTATCCCTTTGGCAGTGGTAGCTCCTTGTTCAGGATACAGCTCCTGGAGGGGCTCCTGGATGCCCTGGAGACCGTCCTTGGTCTGCTGTGGTACGCTGCTACCGAGGTAGAGCACTCGACACCTGCAGATTGGGGTTGAGTCTGACATTTTGGTGGATTGAAGCTACGATGGGGATATCTTCATTGCAGGCACCTGGAAAGAAAATCGTTTTTAGTACTTATGTCTAAATCACCGAAACGGTTAATCAAAGGTAATGCAAAGGAGGAAGGATTAAAATGTATGGATTTTGAAACTATCCAAAGGTTATATTACATATTATAGCAGTTTCGTGTACATTCCTTGTTAATACAATCAAAGTGTTCTTGCAAAAATATTTTAGATTTTTCTTTTCATGCCGATGCAGTTGAAGAATTATTTTTTTATTTGCTGTTTGATTAAACATAAACGTTTGTACTTAATACTATTCTGACGAAGTAGTATTGCTTGTAAGATGTGTATATTAAGGATATAGAACAGAATTGCAAATTAATCATATTGGTTGATTCCTCCAATAGGAATCGCAGACGATTTTAATCAGTTTCCTTCCAACGTGCAAATTCCGAATAGGTACGTTCTTTCAGCACTCCATATATTTTCGACTGCTTAGAGATATAATCGTTGAAAATTCTAGTAGCAGGTTATATGAATCTTGAGATTTCAGATACCCTGAATGTCAAGATATTAACTGGTCGCACAATGAACTTTTCAATAATATCCAGAAAAATGGGGATCGGAGACAACAATCCAATCCTGAGAACCGAAATTTATGTATGTGAAACATGACCTTTAGACAAGTAAACTAGAACGAGAGGATTGGCCCGTCTCTCAGATTAATGCCATCCTTACCATTATGTAACCTCAATCTACAATAGTAATTGGACAAACGGTCCCTGCTAGTGACTAATTTACATTTTGTGCAGATGACACCCTAAAAAAAAGAGCAGTGAAAACAAAGTTTTCGCAATTCTATGTTTTATAGCATTTAATTGGTATAAATGCGTAGGTAGTAGAAAATTTCTTATGATTGGAAGCGTGCACTATTTAATTCTGTCGATCCGTTTACCTCCTACGCCACTGACGTAAAGATATTGTGATCGCGAAAAATTTCTAAAGTAGGATATTATGTTTTTTGGGTGACATGTACATTACGGAAAGATATGTCACTCATTTTCGTCGGCCTATCTGTCTGTCCACTAATCCTTAACCCTTCTATAATTGGAAAGTACCAGTTGAATTTTGATAAAATTTTCACATGAATTAAAGGCAAAAAAGTAAAAAAAATAAAAATCGTTCAAACTTCGTTTTTTGACGTTTCAGGGGATCCTGGTAATTTTTGAGCGAGGGTATATGTAAATTTTTTGACAGTGGCATATGTATACCCCTCCTGCCGTGGTAATTCTTAGCAAATTTTAAACATTTTTCACTCATCATAGATTACCCCGTACATTCGTCCTTTTAGGACTTTTTTTGAGAAATATTATACAATCGGCCTCTGCTGCTCTCCTGTATGTGAACCGATCATCATCCACGACTGATGTACACATAATTTTGATCATATTCGCCCGCAGGAATTTTTCTCAGGGGAAGAGAGTTGGCCATCCATCGACAAGAGATAACTGTTGTGTGAAAGCTTACCTAAACTACCTCAAGATTGTACAAAAAGCATGGAAAATATGCAAATTTTAGTTGTATGAGTCCGTTTAACTAACTTGATCAGTTAAGTTTTTTGTTCTACATGTTCGTAGCTAACTTTTTTTCTCAGCGGGGCCAACTTATCTTGAACATAATGCTTTATGTAGAGCGTTGCGTAGGAAGAACGGAGTCGAACTACTGGACGCCACTTCTTTAAAGTAAATAACATTCCTTTCTACAAAGCACAAATGGGTTATTTATTATTATCGTGAAAACTAATCACAAGGGAAGACGTTGGCATTGTTTCAGAATATTCCAACTTGTTACATTTCAATCGAATGCTTGAGGTGTAAACTACCTGCAGATTATGTAAAACAAAAGAAACTCGGAATCTATATTCAGGAAACGTCCTGCTTTTACATACAATAGTATCGTGGTGCCTTCAGTGCGTTTGCTATCAGCGCGTAATAGCAAACATGCAAATATGTAGTTGATAACAAGTATGTACTAACATGGGCGCCCGCAGGGAGTGGCCAGGGCGGACTGTGGCCCCCCCTTTGAATGAGGCTGGACCTTAAAATGTGCATATTTAGCTTGATTCTGTGTACAATTTTGAGGATTTTTAGGATTTCCGGAAAAGTTGCTAACCCCCACTCTCCCAATAGTCTTGTACGCAGGTACTTTCAAAAAAAGTTATCTCTTTCCAATGATCTCCCCCCTTCCCCTGAGAAAAGTTCTTGCGATCGCCAATGGGTGCAAAGGATGGAGACCACCGTTACTATAGTATCTGTGATACGTACGTTTCATGGCATCCATGTCAAAAAGGTCTACGAAACTGGTTTTGCATGCTGAAATCAAGGGGCTAAGAGAAGAACTGAAAAGTACTTAGTTTGTAAATGTCATGGGTCATATAATTTTTCCAGTTGAAAACTATGACTGATGCTGCAAAAACCAGTACGTCTATTGTTGTTTGGGATTCCACATATGACGGCTTCGCAATTAGGAATACATTATCAAGAGATGGTAAGAAACTATTCGTAAAATGAAACGTCCAGTAAAATACTTCAGCTGAACTGGAATTGTTGATCTGATATAAAGGTGAAAAGCACATATCTCGCTCTTGTTTCGGCGCATTTGGAATACTAGTGCGCTAGCGTTGTAGGATACTTTTCGTTGTTTTATGGTATTTCGGTCAATTGGTTATGAATGAAAATATTCTCACAATTTCTTAGAGTTTCGGTTTATTTTAAGCTGAGGCATCTTCAGAAATGTACTGATCCAAAAACTATTGTTTATTCTTCTCATTTGTTATTTCAGTCTGCTTGAACATCATTCTTAAAAAGTCGTGTTCCGCCCACAGTAGGAAGTGGTACTTTGTAGGATACACCTCAAACTTCAAACAAGCTTATAACTTTGAACTTGTGCTGATGTATTCCCCTCAAGTAACTCAGACTAGCCAGAGAGAGCTAGCATGGCGATTTGTTATCTTCCACGCAATCGTAGTCAGTAGTCAGGGTCAGGCTCAAGTCGCCAGTTTGACAGTTGTTGTATAGCCTGGCAAAGCACATTCGCTAGAAGGTTTTTTCAGAAGTGACCGCAAGAAACATGCTCTAAGGTTAGGACTGTCGACTTTGGTAGGTTGTCAGATGCTCGGAATATTAGAGAGTATTTAATACACCAAAAATAATGGATCGTTGAACCTTCCTTTGCGTCATTTTTGACAGTGATATCAAATAAAGACGATTGGAAAAAAGTTCTTATAACCACTAATCTGAACTACTAAACTTGGCAGTACTGGCTACTAATAGGCATTCTTTTTCGATTTTGACGAGAAGCTAACCTCAAAATTTAGCAACCCTGTCCAACAGAAAAGTTTCGTTAATATTTTTGTCAATCCCGAACAAGAAATGAACAGCAACAGCACTGAAGAAGGAAAAAGTAACCTTACGAAGTAAGCCATCCCCTATAGTCCGTAACTAGCGAAGCTTTGTTATTTCGATATTGTATTGCTACTGCACAAAACCAAAGCAGCAAAGCAAAAGCAGAAAAAGCTCTCTGTTGCGGAGAATTTTTCCACTCTAAGCTACCGCTACGAGAGGAATATTCTCCTCAATGATTACATCTATTATTCCCTTCGTGTGCGCTAGCTTTTACTGAAAACGTTAGGGGTACTGAATGTGCAACAGTTATTTAAAGAATACATATTCATTCAATAATAGCTTTTTACGAAATTCGATATTTTATTCGATAGGCAAAGCAAAACTCATTTTATAGAGAGAGAAAATTATCTCATTTCGCCCTGGTACCACAATTTGCTCCATACTCATTTGTGGATGAATGTACAGTCCTTCTTCTCCCTCCAAATATTTACTGGGGAATATCATACAACTGCGTGGGTATTCTTACAGTTCTAGCGTTCCAGAAAATGTGGAAGGCCTTTGTATATTGCAAGAAGCAAGATGTATAAAAGCAGATTATTTTATCTGTAAGAGTTAGTATGTATAAGACAATCATTGGTGCTCTAAGGGCATGTATCTCAACTTTGGGCTTTTACCTGGGCAGTTATGAGATAGTTTTGATTTAATTCATTTTGCTTGTTATGCTGAATGCTCAATCCTAATCTAAGGTTTGTTAACAAGCTCTCATGCCTAATCGAACATTGTGAATCCAAAACGTTGGAATCACAACAGAACTTATCATGAATACTGAACTTTGTGTCTTATCTCCTGCGTCTTTACTTTTGCGTTGTAAATACTATTTTTACGGTTTCTCATTTTAGTGCCCCGAGATTCTTCTAATGTACCTCAGCCTTCTCCGAAAGTGTTTCATATCAAATTAATTAAATCACACAGACAGCAATATAGTGACAATGATATAACAACAGTGATTGCCATTAAAGTTCAACTAGGTATTTGGTGTCCTAAAAGCTTAGGCACAAAATATTTATCGGATTTTTGTTTAAACACTAACTAGTTATCATAAATTACAACTTAATACTAAACTTACAACTTAAAACAAGATATGGTCATTAGCATGATGTCCATGGACAAACTGCAGCAATTTGGAAAGGCAGTTAATTTCAGCTTTAGGTACCCGCTCAATCAACTTGTAGATACTTTTTCTTATTTCTAATTTATACGACAACTCAAAGCGAAAACTTCAAAATAAATAAATGTCAACTGACAGTAAAGTAAGTAAACAAACTTTTGTTACCAAAGGCAACTTGAAATTATTGTAACTAACTATTCGCTTGTCTGGGCGGTCCGTAGGACCTTTGCCCATTAGTCACTGTCTAATGTACGTTAGTCGAATCTGTCAGTCCTGGTTGCCCAGAAATCAGACAAAGTCAAGGAAAAAGAGAAAGAGAAAGAGAAGAAAAAAGGAGAAGAGCAAAGGAATCAGATGTCCTTAGTTTAAGAGAAAACAGCTAGGCTTTTTGACTGGGTACACAGATTAATTTTGAGGTGAACTAAACAAATTTTTTATTCGGTTTTGTTAGAGTGTAATTTTGAGTTTACTAAACATTTGTGCTAACTTTCGATTACAGTGCGAGCCGTGGCCTTGAATGATTACGAACTTGCTCC